TATCATTAATTAAAGCATTCATTTGATATAAACTTATTCATCCCAAGAAAACAGCTCATTCAATCCTATACATGTAAAGCAAAACTTTCCGTGAAGCGGTCACGAAAGTGAAATTGACAATGTCTTATCAATGAGCTGTCAAATAATTTTTAGTTGACCATGGAAAAATAATTTTTTCCCCCATAAAATTGAAGCCCCGTTCCATCATTGGGACAAGTATTGATGCCCAAAGAGGTAATGCCTAAAAAATGTTGTTTCATCAGCCTATCACATTCCCTAATATATCCGGTAAGAAACTTTTCGATCACTCCTCGTACATATATGAGACATCTCAAGAGAGGGCGGAGCTGGATCCAGAGCCGTCTTTATTCCGAAGGAAATTGGGCTATTTATATGTTTTTATTTTATTTTAAATTGCTTATCCCGGCATATTTACTTCATCGACGAATTTTCCTCAAATGTAGGCGAATTTTGGATTGGCACATCCGGCATCCTTGATCCCCCTCCCCGGACTAGAGGAGCAGACACGCGCCTGCAAGTCATCCATTTAGTCGGCGAGACGAGACGAAACAGGCGTGTACAATTCTTCATCCGTTCGTTCGGGCAGTCGAGGTCGCTCGCGGGCTACATCATTTTATCGATCTCATCTACAGGGTGTTCCAAAATGAACGCTGCTGGCGTTTCATTCGATCAATAGAGATATTTGGCAAACCATATCGTTAGGAGTCACTGCCGAGATGTTGTGAACCTGTGAGAAGACATTCCTCAAGTCGCAATCGCAGAAACATCACGGATTTATACGAGCTGTAAATCTTTATTTCGATGTCAGACGAAATTAGTAATATTAATCGATCTCGACGACGCTTCGCGCATTACCTGGAAAGTGACGTTACATTGGTAACGCCATAGGAGAGTTTTCGTTGGGGAAACAATTGATAATTTAATTAGGAAGGCCTGGAGTGAATTGAAAGAAAATTCACCGAGTGGTGATATTTCCTTTCACTTAAATTCCTTCAATTTCCCTTGTTTTATACTCTTCGTGCGATTTTTCGGTGCGTTATATGCACTATTATTATGAAATTGGGGGCTTGTCAAATGAAGCTCTAAATGAGATTACAGCAAATAATGACCGTCTCGGGCAACCGTTGAGTTCCTGCAGAACGAAGGGCCGGAATCAATTGAATCGACGGCGCAAGAGCCGTTTTGCACAAAAAAAGTCTGCCGACTAAAAAATCCGAGGTGCAATTTCGCTCTTAGCCATTTTGCTCCTTGCAACAAATAGAATGGAGAACATGTCGATTTTCTGCTTTAGTTATTAATAAAGCTAAATGACATTTCGATTCAGAAAAATATTTTCGTTAGTTGCCATGGCTGCCGCTGCCTTGCGTTATATCAAGCGTCACCATCTACCAACGGGTTACTTTCTGGCTTACTTTCCGGGTTACTTTCCGAGAGCCGTGAGATGTCGAAATCACAGTAGGTCGGTTTCTTTCTTTTTTATTTTATTCACCTGAGGCGCTTCTTGTCTATATGGAGAAAGCAACGACGATATTCTGTCGCGATGCCAAAAACGTTTCGAACGAGATTCTCGACGCCGGCTGATTTTCGTTTTCGCGTCTCCAAATGCTTAAATTATCAAAGAACCCAAAGATCTGAATTTGAAGAAAAAGAACTTCTGGTCCCTAAAACATTTTTTTAAAAAATTGCGAGAGTTTTAGGACATGCACAGCTTCAGAAAGAGATTAAATTTCATGGTTGAAGCACATTTTAACAAATTCTTGTCAGGGGCCTTTGAAAGCTTTTTTAAATATATTTTACAGCTTTTGATTGGACTTTTGATCCTGCTCGGACCGGCAGGGAAGTTGGACAAGCATCATCTGGGATGCGAAAGGCATTCACGCGAATCCTTTTAAGTCCGATCTCATCGCGAAAACGTGGATGAATCAACACGAGGACTCTTCACCTTTTTTTTTGCCTGCAGTTAAAGAAAGGCCCAAATACCGTCTGCTTAAATAATGGAAAGAACTGCCTAAAATTTAACGTTTTTCGAGATTCGTGAATGGATTCCGCTTTCCCCGAGACGGAAAATAACGGTAAAGGATTCCCGAGATTTCCACGCGATTCGCGGCAGCGAAGAAGCGAATCGCGACGGATTCGAAATCCAGTGAACGAGGAGAAGGAAAAAACCGACTAACGAGAGAAAAATGGACGACCCTATCTGCAAAACACTACCTTTCTGCACGCAAATTCGAGGAAAAGACTCACTCGCAACACGATGGGCGACGCTCGACCCCACTGCGTGGTCAAAATCCCTGAACAGTTTTTATAATAATAAAAATTTGCCGAGGTCGAAAGCACACACGCGATTCGGCGATCTGGCAATTTTTTTTAATGTAGAAAAGAAATCTCGGCAGAAAATCCCGCTCCATCTTCCCCAGAGGACTGATCTCGGTCCACTCTGGCATTTGGAAGGGATCGCCACCGGAGCTAATCGCATGCAAGGGCTCGTGCACTTTCTCGACCGGTGGGAGAAAGTGCCCGGATGGGGTAATGTGCTTCCCAGAACCCCGAAAACGAAGAACTGCATTTAGTATGCACGCCCGCGCCCGATAAGATGGCATCGTCCCCGAATGCCTTCCGCCACTGAATGCCAATGAGGCGCAATGGGGAAATCCTTTTCCTCTGTTTGCCCTCGCGATCGCAACGAGTAAAGAAACATTATTATTTTATTATTCCTTTGTTTTCTCGACGTGTTCGGGCGTGTGACGTCGATTCCACTTCGTTAATACTTCGTGCATCTCATTACGGTAATTAACATCACGATTAACCCCACTTCCGACGTTATCATAAACATAAAAATTATTTGCAGACCGTTTCCAATATCCATATTTTTCGATCCGTTCGATCGCTGCCGATAATTTGACGTTCGAGTTCGGGAAAGGAGGACACTCGGACCCCTAGCGGGAAACACTCGTGACCGCCCCGACGGTGGAGTTGGAGAGGAGCCGTCTGCATTTTTGCATGTCGTTACGGATCGAGAAGATAACGGAAGGAAAAAAAAACACAAAGAATGAGATTTGGGTGTCCGCGATGCGATCTCCATGCACTGACCGATATATTTCCGGGAGGAGTCGAGGGAAAGTGGAAGTCATAGGTGGCGTAGAGAATAAGACATGTGACGGGGGCAAAGTGGAGGAAACGGACGACTAGGACTCGGGTCAGTCCGTGGGACAGCACCGTCCGACGATGATCATTCCTCTCCTCTGTCTCTTCGGGATCGCCTTCGGTGAGACGAGCTTCCTTGCCTAGCGGGATGGGGGTGGGGGAGTCGAATCGCGTGTGGGATCCATCTGTGAGACGTTTCCATCACCGGTTTGAATGATTGTCTTCTCTTTGGATAATATCGAACGATTAAGTATAGTAAAACCCTGCGATGTTAGTCTCGAATTGCCTTTGTATCCTCCAGAGTTTGATTCGTTCCTCTGGTGTGATTTCTTACTTAAGACGTTAGAAAAAAGTTTCTGGAACTTCCTTTTCTAGAATTATTTGCTCATAGGTACTCAGGTACGATACCTCGTGCGACTGTAAACTCGAGCATCATGCTCACAGGTTTTCTATCGAGTTTGCCTCGTGAAAAGCTCTAAAGCCCGGTAGGAATCTCCTTCACTCGCACAAGTTTTCCTCGGTTCATTGCTGCAACGACGATGCGCAGAGACTTGCAACCTATCCCATGGCCTGGGGTACCCTCCCATAATAATGGAGAATTCCCTGCGAAACTGTTCCTCTTCACGCGAATACCCTTTCCACACGTACCAGGGCGCTCGTTGTAGGGTCCATCTCTGCAATATGTTGTATCATACTTAGCTTTGCGTGTGAAGCTCGGTGCAATGCACTTTCGCATTCCAATGGCACGAGTGCAACCGGCCTACCGGTCCTCAGCCGCTGTGCAACATCTCCGCCCGAATACCACCTTTTTTGTACTTAATTATCTCCATCCATTTTCATAGGTTCTCTTTTCATAAAAAAAACAAGAATTCATAACATCGCCCAGCGCTCAAATCAGCCTCGCATTTCAATATTTTCTTGGTGGCATTTTCATGACGTAATTATACCGCTAATTGGTTGCAAATATCTGGGTGGAATCCCCGCTTCAGAACAAACGTCTCACGAATGAATTCATGGGGGAAATATACGCAAAATAATTTAAACTGTTTTGAGTCCCTGTGCCCGATTGGGCACGAGATGAGCGAAAGGGTAAAGTCCCGATCAGTTTTGGCACTCGTTTCCCTCACACAAATCACTCGAATAGTCCACTTAGTCTATTTATTCGTCACAATCGCATCTTGAAGAGGCGATACGCTAGTACTTGATGCCGAACAAATCGGAAGGTACTCGACGTTGTCGAAAAGCCCCCGGTAGATGGAGGATGGCGGCAATCCGATGACCGCCATCGTGTCTCAACCACCCTACATCTGCCAATTGGTTGCTAACGAACCCAATGTAGTGCTCTCGATCGGGAGCGATGTTCAATCACGGTCCCGCCCGAACATGCATGCAGAAAATGAAATAAATTTTATAGGATAAAATTGAGCTATTTATTAGAATCTGCTAAGAGGGAGTGGCGGCATTTACTTCCCTCTCCTCTAGACGGGAAAAAGCGTATCGTTTGAACAGCAAAAATCGTACTCTGTCATTTTATGGGCGATTTCCCTCTTAGCAAAAGGTTTAGTTGGTGCTTGTCCCATTCAAATGCATCTCCTAAGTTCAACAACTTAAAATTAGTTTAAGAATTTTATATAATCCAGGAGCTCAACTAGGCTTAGAAGTTTAGGTTCACTCTTACCTTATGCATACTATCTTCAAAAAACTTTTGGGACCTCCCCACTTCCTAATGGTATATACCATTTCCATGTGCAATTTAATTAATTTAATTAATTCCATAATGGTCATATGGAATGGACTATTCCTTCCTATCATAAGGAATGTACTGCACGAGGTTTATGAGTATGTTTAACTGCAGCAGGATTTAATACTGCTGCAGAATGTGAATGTTATAAAGCTGAGAGCATTCCAGCGCGGAATGATAACCAGGTGTCTCAGTGCGAAGTCTATTCGTGAAGCTGTTGCCATCCCAAAATCAACTGTAGGCAGGGCTGCCAATTCTTCTCGTTTCACCTCCTTCCTCCCGACCAGTTAGCAAAGTATCACGGGAGATCGGGATTCTCACAGTTTCACTCGGAGAGGGAACAAAGAGGCGTTGTAATAGCAAACCCTAGCTGTTTGCTGATCCCTTAGCTTCTCATTCATCCAAACCCATGAAAAGGTATCGGACAACGGTTATCATATCCGACAGGCTTACGAAATCGGGACAGCTGGGAGGAGGTAACATAACAGTTGTACTATCCCCCCTTGTCAGTAAGAAATCCTCATAATCGATTTAGCCTCCAATATAAATTCTCCATGTCTGACTTGAGGAAGAGCTGGCTACCAAGAGGCAAGAGTGAAATGCGAGATCTTGCAACAGAATGCAGTCCTCCTGCAGTTATACTTACTTTAAATCTCATGCTGTACATCCCATGTGACCATTATGGATACAATATACATCCAGATGGTGAATGCCATTGGGAAGCGGGGGTGCCTCGACACTTTTTTGGAGGATGTGAATACGCATGGGAAAGTTATTCGAAGTTATTCGCGTTTGCTGGAATGGTATTCTCTGGCATCAATTTCCTCCTAAAGGCAGGAAAGCCTCGATTCACGACCTCAATTCCATCTGCCGACGAAAAAAAAAAAGAAACGAGGAAATGGATTCCAAGATGCGATATGCCTCATTGCATCTGTCGAAGCCCGTCTGCATTTCTTATCGACCCTCTGCTATCACTTCACTCATGAATGCTCGATTATTCCCGATCCGATACTTTCGCTGCTCAACGATGGATGATGGATGTCTTGAATGTTTTATTTCTGGGACAGGCGATTCCGGGGTCCAGAGACCTGCTCGTGCCGCACAGGGCTACGCTTCTGGTAAGGAACACAAAAATACCTACTCGGTGCTTCAGGTACCGTCCGAGAATGAATCGCGTTCTGCACTCGTGTCTATCGTTGACAGATACTTTCAAGGAAGTGAAGGAATTCAAGCCGGGCGACTACGTCGTGTACAAGAGTCCTTCCTCCGATCAATACTACTTGTATGATCCCTATCCCGGGGTAGGACCAGCCGGTCCTGCAAACGGTGGAGCATCTGCAGGTCAAGGGTATAGTTCTGGAGGATCCACTGCGGAGAAAGGAAACAGTGTCGGTGGAGCAACTGCAGATCAAGGGTACAATATTGGAGGATCTGCTGCAGAGAAAACGGGCGATGACGGTGGAGCAACTGCAGGTCAAGGGTACAGTGTTGGAGGACCCACTGAGAAGAAAGCGGACGGTGTCGGTGGAGCAGCTCCAAGTCCAGGGTACAGTATTGGAGGAGTTGCTGCCCAGAAAGGGGACCGTCTTGGTGAACCTACTCCAAGTCAAGGTTACAGTCTTGGAGGATCTTCTGCAACTCAAGGGTACAATTTTGGAGGATCTTCTCCAACTCAAGGGTACAGTCTTGGAGGTTCTTCTCCAACTCAAGGGTACAGTCTTGGAGGATCTGCCGCACAGCCAGCGGACGATGTTGATGAATCTGCTGGAAATCAAGGGTACGGTCTAGGCGTATCCACTGCGGATAAAGAAGACGAAGTCGACGGACCCACCGAAGAGGACGATGCCGATGCCGGTAACAATGGATCTGGTGGGGGTCAAGGGTACGGGCTTGGCGGATCCGCTGCTGATCTAAATACGCCCTTACCCGATTCCGGCGGATCTGATGCGGTCGAAGATTCGGCTAAGGATGATGCAGCTGAGGGTAAAGAATCCTCATCGTACGATTTTGGAGGATTAGCACTGGGAGGACTTTCCTCGTCTGGTGTGGAGGGGTCGGATGGCTTATCCTCGTTTGACTTCAATGGACTCGACTTGGACCAAGGGTACTACACGCTCGGAGACTCGGACCTGGGGGAAGGATTCTCCTCTTCCGGACTGGGGATATCTGGTGCAGGTCTAGACGCTTCTCTGGGATCCTACCAGGGCGCAGGATATTCACAATTCGGAACCGATGAAACGAAGTCGTATGAGTTCGGCTCCGCGGAGATAAGCGATGACGATGATAAAACTCCTTCCGTGCCGAACGGATCCACATACGTGATCCAGAGTACGACAAAGGACATACCATCACCTCCAAAAATTGAATATGGTGGATTCACACCTATGACTCCTTCTTCTTCTTATCAACCGCCAGGTATGTCATATTATACTACTATCAGGTATCATGCAGCTCCAGATGAGATTGATAAAAATACAGATTCAAAATAGAATCAGTACTACACCAATGGATAAACTCGTGTGGGTTGCAAACATGCTTAATCGATTACATCCTTTGCCAAACCGAGCCAAGATATTACTTTGGAAACGGTTTCTTCCTTAATCCACTCATGTTGGCAAGGGTGACGTAGGTTTGGCATGTAAGCAAAGGGACATGATGCCAAACCTGTGCTATGACTCAATTCTATCCTTCCTGGATTCTCTCCAGCAGCTCCGTCGAACCCGAACCCTCCGGTGCCGGATTATGCTCAACCCCAGAAAGACGCTCCATCAGACAGCAATGGAAGCCCCACAGACTTCCAGCCTGCAACGCCTCCGGTGTCACAAAATGTTCCGTCTTATGGTGTTCAGGTTGAAATACCTAAATTCACCTACCAACTTCCGCTCGAGAGCAAACCCGAACCGAAGAATACTTATGGAGCTCCTCCAGAACTGCCAACTATCAGCTACAGCCCACCCAAACAAAGTTACGGTCCACCTCCCGGGCCTCCATCAAACGGCTATGGTCCTCCCCCTGCGCCACCCAAACCAAGTTATGGTCCTCCTCCCGGGCCTCCATCAAACGGCTATGGTCCTCCCCCTGCGCCGCCCAAACCAAGTTATGGTCCTCCCCCCAGGCCTCCATCAAACGGCTATGGTCCTCCCCCTGCGCCACCCAAACCAAGTTATGGCCCTCCTCCTGAACCTCCTGCAAGCAGTTATGGCCCTCCTCCAGAACCACCCAAACCGAGTTATGGTCCTCCACCTCCAGAACGACCCACGAATGGCTACGGCCCACCGATCGAGGCACCATTGTCGCCCTATGGGCTCCCAAGGGTTCCCAAGAATGGAGGGTCTCAATCCATTCCTGCATATAGTCTACCAGACTCCAGCTCGAGTGGCATAGGTGGAACTTACGGAGTCCCCAGCAAGTTGCTTCCAGACGAAGTTGAAGACTCTGGAAGTGGAAGTGGAAGTGGAGGTGGGTCGTCCTCTGGGTACGGAGCTCCTCTTCAGCCTTCTCCCTCGAACGGCGAGCAGCCATCCGGATACGGAGCCCTGCCGCCGCTTCCTGTAGCGACTTACGGTCCCCCTAAGCCCCAGCCCCCTGCTCCCGAACCACCAAAACCACCGAAGGAACCTCCAAAGGAGGAACCAAAGGAAGAACCCCCAAAACCTCAACCGTACGGCCAGGTTCACATTCGACACGAGCATGCAGGTCCGGAATTTCTCTACGATCGTCGACCCAAGCAACCAAACGACATCAAAGAGGGGAAACAAGACTTCCTACATCTAACAAAGGTACTCTTGCAGCAACCATACCACGGAATCCGAAAGCCACCCCCACCACCTCCGGCCGCACCACCACCACCACCACCACCACCACCTCCACCTCCGCCAGAAAAACCAAAGGAAACACCCAAGGGCTATGGAAGCGCATTACCCGCACCCGCGCCCAGCAATTCGTATGGCCCACCACCCGCGAATTCATATGGCCCACCACCTTCACCACCCGCAAATTCATATGGCCCACCACCCGTGAATTCGTATGGCCCACCACCCTCACCACCCGTGAATTCGTATGGCCCACCACCCTCACCACCAGTGAATTCGTATGGCCCACCACCTTCACCACCCGTGAATTCGTATGGCCCACCACCTGCCCCCAAACCGGATAATGGCTACGGGCCTCCGAAGCCTGGTAACGGTGAAGGTGGGGAAGAAGAAAATGGAGAAGATGACGAGGAAGATAATGGGAATGGGAATGGGAAGGAGAATGGGAAAGGGAAAGAGAATGGAAACGGGAAAGAGAATGGGAATGGGAATGGGAAGAAGAATGGGAACGGAAAGAAGAAAGGGAATGGAAAGTTCTTGAAACCCCTGGTCCTCAACGGAAACTCTGGGCTCGGCACCTACAGCTTCCCAGATCAATCCTCCCAAGGCCTCGGGTACGGAGGCCTCGGCGGATACGGTCTCTCTTCCAGCAGCAGCGGCCAGGACTTGGGAGATTTGGCTTCCTCGTCGCAAGGAATCGGCAGCTCTTCCTCTTCTTCGGGAGGGTCTCCCCCGAGCAAATTGGCCAGCCTCAAAAGCTTTTTCAAAGCACTCTTCGGCAAGCAGAGGAAACGTCGATCCGCGAACTTCAAACCGGTCCGATCTCTTCGACGACATTGAAGCCGACACCACGTAAGGAAGCATTTCTTACCTTTTTCGTTTCGGCATTTCTCGGCACTGCGATCGTGACGAAATCTGTGATGATTGCAGGTGTGACTGAATCCCAGCATGGAGGTGCGGTATCCGTTCCGTTTCCCCTTCTCCCGATTTCTTACATGCCGTTGCAACACACGCGTTCTGCGCCTCATCGTATCTTTTGTTTCGGGCTGGGACAACCATGCAGTGTTTCTTGGGTGTTTCTAGTCACGTTGTTGTACGAGGTTGAGAACATTCGGAATGAAATGAACACTTTCATCCAACGTCACTGTCCGACTTTCGTTCTCCGTCTACCGCGATCCGACAGCCTGTTGCTTAGTCCTGGCACGCATGGCCGTGCCAGGACCGGGCAACTTCATAACTGATGGTTAGATGTCAGACTCCCGCCACGGTTTCCCCAGCGCAAGCGTTGATGCGACTTCAGATACGACATTCACCTGTCCTATTCCAACAGCAAAGCTCTCTCGTTTTGCTTTTGGACAGCTCGCATGGTTCTTGATATGTCGAAACGGTTTAATATCCTTATTCGCATTGCCACGTGAGAAACGAACTAGCCCTAAGGGATAGCCGAGGTCCTTTCACTCCGCTGTCACACTCAGGTACTGGTCGCCTCCTGCTCGTCGCGATCTTCCTTTCCGTTCATCCTGAGACAAGGGGCAAGGTCGCCGGAGCAAATCTTCCTCGTCCTTCGCGTTGTGGCTCGAGGCAAAGTAGAAGGCGCAAAGAACGACGCGGACGTTCGGCCGCCTGTATGCAAGGGCGTCTCCTTCCGAGTAACATTCGTCTTTCACGGCAAAGATGCCGTGAACGACGAATGTTACTTACGAATCTTAGCTAGATTTTCTGACTTTCTGAGTTGGCATGGATCGCTTCATTCATCATTCAGTAGTGGACCCCCTCGTTAGGTAAAATGGATGATTGGAAGTCCTTCAGGATATCCATGTATGTGTGCATGGGAATGAAGAGGCTTCCAAGCGGAAACACGCCATACACTATTCAATTGAAACATATCAGGAAAGTGGGAAGTCGGCTGACTCAGAGCCCAGAATCTGAGTTCATGATGTCGCACATGCGAAAAGAACGATCATTCTCTTAAGAGAGACGAACTATATCGAAGTTGACTCATTCCCCTTCCACGTGAGGTAACGTGTCTGCCTCGCATGTGAGGACCGTCTCACGTGTCTGAATTCAACGCCCTGAATTCAAACAACCCATTCGTCTTTCCCGGGCTTGAATGAACGGATGACATACCAGAAGCAGGCGTCCGCAGTCCTTGGAACGGCTGTCAGACCCAATCAGGTCATCCATAATATTGCTTTAGAGGAGGATATCGTGGAAATTATCGACACGATGGTTTCTGGTGAAGAAAGAGGTGAGTGCATTGTCAGCTTTCCCGCTGCTGTTTCCCATACTGTCTGACGGAAGCATATAAGAGCTGTAGGATGGGGAGTTAACGCAGGAAGCAGGGCAAACACGCTTACACTTAAGATACGCAAGCGAACGATAAATTTTCCTCTCCTGTCTGACGTACACGAACAGGACAAGGAGAGAAAGGGAGACATAAATGCTTTCACGTTCAAGGTTCATGACAGTCCGTAGCCAAGAGAATGCATTGGTTCTACTTTACCTCCAGCACGGGTTAATGTCAATTTCATGGGTCCCATCCTACCGTAGAATCCTCACGAGCAGTAATGGCAAGAAAATCTGGAAGGTGTCAATTTTTATCGCAACCTCCAGAGCAATGTTTTTTTTTCCTTGTAGACAATACAGGATGGCTATATGTATGCATACATTTTCGATAAAGCTTATCTCAACTTAATGGGGTCGCGGCCTGGCAATACAGGATCGCTGGTGCTTTGCATAAGAGCGAGATACTTTGAGTCAAACAACGTTGTAAACATCGATTTGAAGGCTCCTCCGACTTTGTTACAACTTCCTGGGACGACATGAGTGGAGCTCCACCATAAAACTCAAACACATTCAATCTTAGTTCAATCTCGAGTCATCCAGATGTCAATTTTCGGCAGAAAAAGTGTAATCATCTTCTTGTCATGAAATCGATCCATCGCAATAGACAATGTTTTACTTTCTATCGTTCAAAACAGCAGGTATCCTAGATCGCCAACCAACCCTTTCTAACTAACCCTTTCAGTCCTGGCGGGACTCGGGAGTCCCAAATCGTTTTCGTATATTTGGCATAGGAATGCTTGGCCTTGAGGCCCAGCGAGACTTCTGAGTCCCAGTGACCTCCTTCAGGGCCGTTTCTAGGGGCGGGCGATCGCCCGGGGCGCCAGCGGGGTAAAGGGGGAGGGGGGGGGGGGGGGGGGCGG